CTTTTGCCACTTCCTCGAGGACCACGCACAAGAACCGGCTGTCCAGCTTCAACCCAAGGTGCTATCGTCACCAGTCCTCGGTTTAGCGCATCTAAAAATTCAAGGTCATGAAAAGTCTTATCAGAACCAAGCTTAGAAACTTACTTGTCACCAAAACGGGCGTCTCTGCGTCTATCACATTCTTCTGTTCACCGAAAGGCTCCAGCCTGTCGATCTCCGGGTTGTACACCACGTCCAGCGGACGTTGTGGATCAGGACACCAGGACTCCAAGGTCTGTAGGATGAAATTCGCTAGCGTATTCCTGGTCTCCTGCGTCTCAGCTTGGAAGCAAGTGACCATCAGCAGTGCGTAGGTCACTTTGTTCATCGTACTGGCTGATTGCAAGTGTTGCATTAGGGCGTTGACTTCACTGAAGCATGACATGGAGCTCTCCTCCAGCACGCGGTCAATCACAGTGAGTATCTTAGGCACAACTTGCTTGACTGCAGGCGGCAGAGGGTCCAAGACCGTTGAGGTCAAAAGCGCAGCCACTGGCATAGCTGCAAGATGGACCACACCCAGCCGTGAGACAGTCGCAGGACTAGCGCCAGCTAGCTGATGAGTCTCGAATATGAACCTGAAAAGCGTCTGTCAAATCTCAGTTGGTTAGACCTCAAACTAACGTTACCTTATGCGTGGGTTGAGTTTCACACTAACGCCACTCGCTAGCGTGAGTATCCTGTTGTCATCCAGCGCGGAATTAAGAGCTTCTGCCCAGCTGGGCTCAACATCTCCGTTCAGGACTATCCAGAGTGACTCGTCAGCGATAGAAGCCACGCCAAGCGACAACAAACCATCCCTCCACTCTCTAGTCTGTGCATCAACGCGCCCCAGCAATTGAGTCTTAGGAATCGCGCCGGGGAAGATGTTTATCTCTCTCATATTCTCGCCCAACTTCACCAAAGCCTCAGAAAGCGTTCTACGCACGAGAGTCTTACCACATCCAGGTGGTCCAACCACTGCGACGCCCATGCGGCTCTGCAGTTGGTCGTAAAGTTGCTCGCAACGCAGGACAGTATCATCAGTCAGCCCACGCTTGCGACAAACTTCGTCCAACGCTTCACGCAGAGCCTGTTTGTCTTCAGAGGGCTGGTGCTTGACGTCGACGTCCACGAAGACGTCTTGGAGGATCTGGTTGAACTTGTCCGTGTCTTCCTTGGTCAGCTTCGGGACAGTAGAAGCTTGGATGGCTTGCAAGAGTCGCTGTCGCTCATCCTGTCCAGGAGGAATCGAGTCTAGGACTGACCTCAGGGCCCTCAGGCCCCAGTCGTAGTGAGGTTGCCGAGTCAGAAGCTTCTCCGCCATGTCCAGAGCCTCCACCAGTTGACCTGCTAGCTTGGAAGCTTCCTGGAAGCCAGCGCACTCGAGCAGAGCCTTGACAATGTCGTACCTGGAAGAAGAGGATCATCATCAAGATTCTTTAAAGTCAATTGGGACTTACCGATCAGGATGAGCCATTGCGATAGGCCTGAAGAGCCGCGCAAGAGAGTCTGGTAGCTTGTTTCGGCCGCCGTAGTCGCTCCCTGCGGGGTTCATGGTGATAAACACGCAGCAGTGAGGATTTAGCGTGATATTTTGCTCGCCTAGTTGGACGCTGGTGGTGTTGTCACGCAGAGCTTGCTGCAGCGGACGCACCAGCATCGCTACCGCGCTGAGAGTCTTTTCCTCCAGGCGATTGAACTCGTCGAAGCACCCCCAAGCACCTGCCTGGGCTAGTCCGCCCAGAATGCGCTTCATGCTGCTGGCGTCCATTCCTAGAACAATTTAAGTTACTTCCCGTTGATCTAACCTGAAGATCTAAAAGTTACTGACCTTCATCGCAGTTGAAGACCAAGACCAGCCTCCCTAGCAGCGACGCCAAAGCTTTCACGCTCTCAGTCTTGCCTGTCCCTGCTGGACCAGTTGGACTTCCACCCAAGCCGAGTTTCATCGCCTGGGTCAGTGCTAGGAAGCACTTTTCCGTCAACGTAGTTCTCACTAGACCCACAGCAGCGCCTTGATACTCGAAGCGGTATTGGAACTCGGCTCCAGCGCACTTGACAACTGGTCCTTGGTTCTAGGATTGAAGATATCCATCAAATTCACTTTTAAACAGAGATTAAAGTGCGTACTTACCGTTGTGTAGAAGCGCAGCTGCCGGTTCCAGGTCCAGGACATGTTCCCGCCAGTTTCAGCGACTTTGATCAGACTACGCACGATGTTTAAGTGATGGACTGTCTCTAGAAGCAGACTCCGCGCTTTTAGAGCTGTCAGACGATCATCAGCGTCTTCCAGCGCGCGGAACTTGGCCCTTTGAGACTCCAGATGATCAACAAGAGTCTTCAGCGCGATTTTTCCATTGCGCACAGCTTCTTCGCAACGTTCTGTGAAGTGGATCCGCTCAGCAAGCAGCAGAATTTGACTGGGGTACTTGGAAACCTCCTGAGCGCGATCCTGGTAGCAGACCTCCAACTTCTTCGCCAGCGTCACGCGTATCTCTTCTTCAAGATTTGCTAACCAAGCTGGCAGCGAATCAGCAAGGTCAATTCCCCGCGTGAAAACCAGCATCTCGTCTTCTGGAGAAACTATCGCACTGATAGTCCCGTCTTTAATCTCCACGCTTCCGACTCCTTGAAAGAGTTTCGGCAAGTGATTCTTCAAGCCTAAGCTACTTCCTGAAATCAGTTCCAAAAGATCCTCATCGCTAAGGAAGTACAACCTTGGATACGCCGCGCGTTTCTCTTCCAGAAACTCGTCGAGGCTTCGCTGACACCTATCTAGCAGATCTTTGAGACTCACAATCGCCGGCATGGGCAGTCTGCGCAACGAAGGCACGCGTGGATCCCGCGAAACTTCTCCAATCAAGTACCTGAACTCTTTATCAGCGCGCAGCCACTTTCCGTTGTCATTAGCAGGCGTAGCAACTGTCCCGCTGTTGTAAACCGGTTCCAAGTACACCCACTTGCGCTGAACAGCCCCCAGGACCTTGATCCGCTCTTCCAGCTCAAAAAGCGCCGACTCACAACGTCCCGCGCGTGCGGCGAATCTTTCAAAACCCGCAGCACCTTTAGCACCTTCAATCAGCAGCTTCAACTCTCCTACGCGCGCCAAAGTCTCGCCGTACTCTCCCATCAGCAGAATTTCCCGACCCTTACTGTCCTTAGCATCCTGGAGCTGGACAGCTGCTGATGATTCCCAAGCCTCCAGCTCGACGATCGCCTGACGAATTCCATTTTCAGCCAAGGCGCGCTTGGTAACTTCCTTAACTTTCTCAAGATTCGCCTCGATTTCCGGCGCAGCAAGGATTAGATTCCCCAGAGTCATGTCCCGCGTAGCAACTTGGACCCCTAGAAGCTTCCTGAGGTCGTTCCAGTGCTCCTCAGCCAGCTCGTCACCGCGCAGCAGCTGGACAAGTTCAACCGCGCTGCGTAACTCGCGGATCCTCTTTCCGACGAAGGTGTCAACCTCCAGAGACTCCAAAGACTCCCTGGGCTCCTTGGCCTGGACCTTGATCCTCTCGCGCCAAGAATCCAACCAGTCGTGGAACCTCGGAAGCCTGCGGCGTGCTACGCTCCACTCTTCCGACAACTGGCCCTCCAGTTCCTGAAGAAAGTCCTCTTGGAACCTGCAATTAGACTCTTCTGCCTCCAACTCAGCCTCTAGACGCCGCGAATCAGAATCTTGGAAGAACTCAGCGACGTCCAAGCCTACGCGCTGGCAATCAGTGATCAGCGAGTCACGCTGGGACTCCAGCGACGTCCAGCGCTCGCGCATCCCCGCAATCCAGTCAATAGTCACAAGCTCCGGCTTGGAAGTCCACTTAGTCTCCCAGCGCTCGCGTTCGTCCTTCAGCGCCGCTGCGCGGTGACGTAGATTCAGCTTTGCGTCTTCGACATGATGCGCAACGATCGTTTTGTGCCTCTCCAGTCGATCTGCGAGACTCTCCCAGGCCGCGACTGCGCCAGATAGACCGTCCAGTTTTTCCCTGGTCCAGGCGGCCATCAGACGAGCGAGGCCTGTCGCGCATTCTAGCTCCGCAGCAATCCTCGGAGTTTCGCTCTCGATCCTCCGGTGCGTGTCATAAGCGAGCGCTACCTCCTCGATGTCCTTCGGACGGTGCTCAAGGTCACGCGCAGCGGAACTCAAGAATTCCACGCAGGTCAGCAGCCTTTCTGCAGCTTCTGCGCGGAGTTCCGTAGATAGGCGGTCCCAGGTCCTGCGCGTTGCTGACTCAAGGTCACTGCGCGTCGTTGCAGTGTCTATCGCGAAGCACCAAAGCTTGAGCTCGCCGCCGCGGAGCTTTCCGATCTGTTGCGCCCACTGTTTCGTGTCCTTGAACGCCTTCTCCCATTCCTTCGGCGATTTTCCCTTGAGCTTCTCCGCAATGTCTGCTGTTGCGGGTTCCGCGAGTGGTGTCCATTTGAGTTTTACTGAATTTAACGTCGCGATAGCCGCTTCTGCGTCGTTATAAACTGCGCCGAACAAGTACGCGTTCTTGTCAACGATCAAGCTGAACTTGGCGTCCTGCGCGTTTCCTACGCCGCGAAAGTTTAAGGGAATTGAGAGGAACCGCTTGATGGCTGAGTAGATCTTGGCTCGGATTTCTTCCACTGAAGGGCGCCACTGGAGCTTGTTGTCACGGAATATCAACTCGATCTGGAGTTCTGGAAGCTTTTTTACCAGGTTTGGGAGCGCTGCCCTGAAAAAAAAAAAAAACATCAGCTAATAAGCTATCGAATTTCAACAATAGAATCTTCCTAAGCTGATCATTCTAAGGAGGGGGCTCTTATCTAAAAAATGCTTTATACCAATTACAACTATAAATTCAATAAAATTTTGTTAATCTGTCCACGCAGACGATTAATGACACTATTATCTTTAGCAAGTTATTATCCAAAGACTCCTTGTCTTTCTAAATTATCTAAACTACAAATGAGTTGTTATTCGCTAGCGTACTTCCCAAAAAAGTCATTGAAGAACCATGAGAACCTCTTGGCCTAGCCAATCTCGAGCACCCGCGGCGCTGATCATTAATCTGAGTGTCTTTTGTCTTCTAATCACCGGGAATGTCCCTGATTGGTCCTTCTACGCCACCGAATTGACGAACCTGCTATCCTCTTCATCAGATAGCCGTTTGATAGCTTCTGTTATCTTCAAAGTCTGGCCTACAAAACCAGGAATTTTCGTCCTTGCACCCTCAGTTCCAACGAATTATCAGAACAATGCAGACCAAGCTGATCCTCCTGGTAAGTGACCATCTTTCTAATACTCCAAGCTTATCTAATTAACTAATTCCTTCAGATAACGCTATTAGTAGCCTGCTCCGCGTACAGAACCAGGCCTAAAACTGAAACTTCAACTCAAGATCCTTCAACGGAACCTCCAGCTTCTCAAGATGTTCCAAGCCTAGGCGACGGCGGGCTTGATAACTTCAACAACTCTGACACCAGACCGATGCTGTCCTATAGTATGCTTATGCAGCTATACAGACGGAATTATGATGAAGCTCAAAAAAATATCTCACAATGACATTCCAACTTTCACTATCCTGGTCTTATGTAACTATTTTCTAATTGTAAAGTCTCTGAATTGTAAAAATTGTATTCTGAATAAATGATCTGAGCTTAGAATTTGTTTTCTTGAGTAATTGAGCCGTTATAGACATTTGGCACCACAAAATCTGATCAATCTTGTCTTCTAAGCGTCTTTTTGAGGTAATCGTTAAGGATGTTCCTTAAGGCAACATGTCATATGATTCAAGGTCATTGCATTTGCAACGTTTTATCTGAGTGACAGTATATCTGCTTCGATATATCCGATGTTTGATATATGATGATGATGGTAATGATGATAAGAGATTCACATTAACGATTAGTTGGTATCTAGTCACCTAGACTACTAGTCATTAAAAAACGACAAGAATCATGTGGTCTAATCAATCTTTAACGCCTGCGGCGTAGGTAATTAATCTAAGTGTCTTCTGCCTTGCAGTCATTTGGAATGCCCCAAACTTGTTTTTTTCAAAGCCAATAAATTGATAACACTGCTATTGTCTTCATCAAGCTGGATAGATAATCTAAATTGGGTCTTCCCCAATGATTAAGAGACAAAAGACGCTTGGACTAATGACCTACGTTGCGCTAAGTGTTCATTATGGATCAGGTAATCAAACAACAAATTTTACGTTCAGATAATTTATTCAGATCGTAATGACTTAAGACTATTCAGATGCTTTACGAACAGTAAACATCATCCCATAGATAGTATCGTTAATGAGATACATTGAAAGACCTTGTTTGTAGTCTATTTCCCAACAAGGAAGCGCTCGAACGTCTCTGGATCTCGTCATGTAAACAAATGACTGAGTTGGATGTAATATTATGGAATAGGCCATAGGCCCCAGCTGCACGACCTCTTTATCTATTTTTAGAGGAATTTTAAGTCTGACATTGAAATCCTTGTCGACATTCTCGTCCACCATTTTATTCCTTCCAATAGGTTCCAAACTAACAGCAAGAAGCCTGTTGTCCTTCAACTGTACGAAGTTTTTTCCCCAAAGGAATATCACAGTACCATTCAGAACTTCACTCCGATCGACACCTAGGGTGTTGTTGATCTCCATCTGCCAGTAGTTAGGAATATCTTGACCTGGAGTTTGATTTACGTCGAAAGTAGCGGTGTAACCTGCTACCAGTGCTACCTGAAGAATTTAGTTGGTTAGATATGCTTAGAGTGATTAGGATGATCACTTACCAGAAAAATTAGCTGCGACTGCATGGTTCTGATGATTCGTTGCGACTGAGGTTCCCGATGCGGCAAGTCCTGGTTTTATTGGCTGCGTCTCGTGATCAAACAAAGAGTCTTTGAACAAAAGCCTGATGACGACAATAGGAAGTGAGTGCGGAAAAACCAATGCTAGACAATGAAAGCTTTGCGAGTTCGTCATCCAGGTCGTTTCTTCTTTAAGTGCTTGATAGCAGCTTGGGATTTCCAAGTTGGGTTTTTCAACGTCAATGATTCACCTTGTCTATTGTCTTCAGTATTGTCCAAAGATTCTTTGTGTACCCACGAGACCGAGCGAATAAAATGAAGAATTCAAACCTTCGGATCTTCAGTTGTAACGAATCATCAGAAGCATGTTGTCGCAGTTCATCTTTCTGGTAAGTAACCATTCTAATCACTCTAAGCTTATCTGACTAAGTGAATCCTTCAGGTAACACTAGTAGCGGGATGCTTTTCCAATTCAATCATCGAAGCAAATGAAACTTTAATTGATGTTCCAAACTTATGGATGCTTGAGATCAACGCCGAAAACATCAAAAGTGCGGTGCAGTTGTCCTCCAAAAGAGTGGTTCATTCAAAAGGAAAGTTATGGTTGGAATGGCAATACGGAAGACTCACGCCGATAAACGTGATGCCTATTGGAAACAACGAAGTAATTGATAGAAATGTCAAGAAATACTTTGATATTTTCCTTCGTGTTCCTCTCTATCCTCGATTCCGAATAGTTTATGAAGAGGAAGATAGAGTTAACAACGGAAAATTTGATCATATCCAGTACCTGCACTTAGAGCGCATCGATAATGACGTCGTGGTTCCCTACTTGCCGGTGAATTTCAATTCTAGCCGACTCCCGCTTTGGGAAATGGACTTCAACAAGAAGTGGGCGTACGGATTCGACGGGACTGTTTATGGGCTTCTATTTAGCATTCGCAAAGTCTAATTGTGATTGTAATCGATGAATATCGTGAATAAACTTTTGAAACAAAAGACTTGTCATCAATTCTATTTCATTGAATCACCCACTGTTTGATTTTAATTTCCCGTAAGGAAGTCGTTAGAGAACGGTTATGGTCAGACAATGTCTTATGATATTTTAACATACACCATCATCATCATCATCATCATCATCATCATCATTATTACCATATCATTTACACCACTTACCTGTACGCAACATCCAAAACTTTCAGCAACTGCCTATCCCAGTGAAGCTTCCAAGCTTTGGTATTCCCATAGTTAGCATCAACATCATCAACCACACTGCGCATGGTTTTGAGCGTATCCTTCCACGCAACCTGGCTCCCAATTAGATTAACCACTTCTCCTTTCAGCAAATTAGCCACCAGGTCCCTAAGATACATGTGCTTAGTCGCAAGTTCCGAGTTCTGCCTCGCAAACTTCTGGACCTAGAACCACACCAAAACCACCATCATCATCACACCCCACAATTCCCGCCAAAATACTTACATACTCCTTTAACCTATTGATGTAAACATCAATCGCATACAAGTCCGACCAGACGACTCCCTTCTGCTCCTGAACCGCCCTGGCAAACTCCATAGCAGTAGCCAACATAATCGGCCGCTGCGAAGCAATCATGCGGTCTCCAATCGTGTTATGAAAGTTAGCGATCTTCTGCAGCTCCCTTGCGCGGCCTGCTAGCGCACCAGCGCGCTCCACCAGACTCTTGATCTCCCGCGGCAGTTCAATCCCCTGCCCAGAGAGCGCGCGCGCCTCCTTGATCAGCGTCATCAGCCTCGGATCATAGTTTACCTTCATCATACTGGTCCCCGTTAGCTCCACCACCGCCGAATCTGTTCCAAGAGTCAGTTCCTTGTCCGCGATCGACTTCTGGGTGTCCTGAATCTATTTCCAGGCCTATTAGCACCCTCTCTTCTGCTCAAAACTCTAAGAAACTTACCCAAGCCTCTACCAGGTGCGCTCGCTTGGTCTCCGCATCTCGCGCAGCAGCATGAACCTTTTCCATTGCTTGTTTAACCTCCGGAAGGTCGTCCAGCAGCTCTCTGACCAGCTTCTCCAGGTTTGTCAGCTTGGTCTCGGCGTACCGCGCAGCCTGGACCTCCTGCAGGATATGCGGCGTGTCCAGCAGCTCCTTGACGTCGGGTCCGGATTGATAAACATCTGAAAGAAGACCAATTACCCAGGTAACATTGGCTTGAGCAAGATTTAGGTGCCAGTTAGAACGTCGCTTACCTATGACGTCACCAATTCCAGAAAAGAGGTTCTCCCGCTCTGTGCGCAGGTTCTGCTTGATCCTCGGCCGCTTGATCAGCTCTGCGTAGCGCTGAACCTTGGAAATGAGAACCACTGGTGTCTGCGCTGCGGCGAACTGCCGCTTGAGCTTCTCAGTGACGCCTTCTTCAGCCGGAGCGAGATTTTCTTCGAATCGTCGAAGAATCCGCTCCCACTCCGCGGATTTTTCGACGTCGCACAGCGTTTTGTAGTCCTCGAATTGCTGGAGGATCTCGCTGGTGTTCAAGCTCTGACGTTGAGAGTCACTGAGCAGACGCACGATCTGATGGTACTGCAGACGAAGCTCCGCTGCTTGCTTCAGACGCGCGCCGATTTGCTTGCAAGCTGGAGGAACCACTGGAGGATCCTTCCAGGGATGCAGCGACTGATGCGGCCAGAAGAGACTCGTGTGTCTCTCGCAGCTCGCCACCCACTTCTTGCAGACCTGCGACGCATTCAAAACCGCTTCGTCGCTGATCCGCGCGTCCTTGGCAGTCAGTTCGGTGAGCGACGTCTCGACGCAGGCAAGTAACTCCCGGTCGATGATCTCCAGCAAGGATTTCATCCTCTTCTCATTATAAATCGGCGTCTCTAGCTTCCAGATATCGTCGATCAGGCCGCTGATGATCTCCAGGGACTCTTCAAGGCCAAGCAGCCCGTCGTTTGATGATGCGGCGTTGTCTAGCTCGGAGCGGATGTCCTGCAGGAGCTTGATGAGATCTTGGATCGCCGAACGCTCGCTGCTCTTTTTAGAGTGGTCTAGCTGCTTGAGCCAGTAGTTGCTTTCTTCCAGCAAGGTCGATGCCGCTCTTGGGCCTAGGATATCTTCTTCCAGCTTCTTTAAGCTTGTCAAGGTCACTCCGGAGGACTGCAGCGTCGGGTTCCATACTTGCCGGAGGGATTCTAGGAGCAATGAAGGGCTACCGGTTGTTGAGAGAATTTGGACTAGTTCGTGGAAGTTGTCTGACGTCACTTGCGACGAACGCAACTGGAAGGAAGCAACGTAAGCATTTTTTAAATTACTGTATCTTCTAGAATATTAAAAATAGACCCATAGTATGAAGACGTTTTTGATAGGAAATTTTATTATCTACAATTTTTAATTCTTGTAGTTTTTTCCTAAAATCAATATTTTAGGAGTTACAGCCATTTTTTTAGTGCCTAGATCATGAGTACTCATTTTGCGCAACGTAAGCATTTTTTAAATTACTGTATCTCCTAAAATATTAAAAATAGACCCATAGTATAAAAACGTTTTTGATAGGAAATTTTATTAGCTACAATTTTTGATTCTTATAATTTTTTCCTAAAATCAATATTTAAGGAGTTGTGGCCATTATAAAAAAAACACAAAATTTTTTTCTTCTACTTTTTTAATAAAAAGAACCAAAATACCTTAAAAAAAACCAGACATTTCTGTGCAGGCTTAGCAGAAACAGTAACCTTGACTTTGTCATCGCTCCTATGGACATAGATCGCGCGAGTGCTGGTAGAATCCAGGAACTTGTCTAGCACTAAGTGATCTTCTGGCTCTAAAATATCTTCACTGGTTCCAAAATTTCTATTATCAAGACCAAAAAAGTTCACCGCGGTGGAAATAATCAACGATTCGCGCTTATCACTTAACATTTTGTCACATACATTATCTATTTTCTGATAAGCTTCATTGAGAAATATTGTATATGACTAAATAGTACACGGAAGGGATTAGAGTGACAAGGCAACGTGGTCAATGTTGTGACGCAGTTGCTTAGCAACGCAAGCCTGCATGCATTATATTCTCACTCTTACTTTCAGGAAGCTTCTGATACTTGATAGAGGGTACAAGGCAGGTGTTATTGACGAAAGTTGATTCATAATAATTTTTATTTTATTTATTGGCATTTCAAGAAAATAATTATGTTAGGAATTGATTTAATACTATTGATATTTTGTTATAACTCCTAAAATATTAAAAATAGACCCATAGTATAAAAACATTTTTTATAAGAAATTTTTTAAGCTACAATTTTGATCTCTTATAATTTTCTCCTAAACTCAATATTTTAGGAGTTATATCTAATTCCGCGCAACCTTATCTATTTTATTTTTTTAAATTTCAAATTTTCCCGCGTAAATTAAAAAAATTATTTTATCATCTAAATAATTATTTATTTACTTAAAAATTAATTAATAATAATTAAGAAAATTTATTTATCAAAAAAAAAAAATATTCTAAACCGTTTAAAATTAATAAATTTATTTTGCGCACGCGCGGCAGATATAACTCGCGGGAAATTTAAATTTAAAAAAGTTTTTCAAACTTTTTTAATTAATTTACTCAAGAAATAATTTTGTAATAATTATTATAATTATTTTTAAGTGATTTAATATTAAAAAATTGAATTTTTAATAATTTTACACATATAAAAAAAATTATAATTGTAAATTAATTAAAAAGTACAACAAAGATGGCGCTAGTAGACAGTAGCTTAGAAAAACTGACAGTGACAGTCGTCTAAAAGTAAATAACAAAATAAATAAATAAATAAATAATAATAAATAACAAAAAAAAATGGATTTTGAGAGTCCTGATGTCGAAAAAGAATTCCCGGGACTTTACGCTTCAGAGTCTGCTCGCAAAAGCAACGAGAGTGATTGTAAGTATTAATTTATTTGTGATTTATAATTTTTAACCTTAAAATTTAATAAATTCTTTGTAATAAAAATTATCTTGAGGAGTGTAATTAAAAAAAAAAATTTTTTTTAGTCAGCGATGATGGAAGTCATGATAAGCACGCGAAGAAGGAGCTACTAGGAAAGAAAAAAGACAAGAAGGATAAGAAAGACCGAGGATATGCGACGCTGGAGGGTGAGAGTTCTCCTGATGAGGATCAAGAGACCAAGTATGAATTTTTTTTATAAAAAATTATTTAGCCGATAAGGTAGCTAGTAGTTGAACAGGTTTCAAAGTAAAATGTATTTGACCCTACTTTTAATATATAAAGATGTAATTATTAGTTAAAATTAGTGATTTTCATGAAAATATAAACAATTTCGATTAGCAAAATAACAAAGATAGAATATTTATATTTTGACAAAGTTTTTAAGATAGACTATCAAAGGAGTAGTAGTTGAACAATCAATTCTGACAAGCCTTAGTAGTTTAACACTCCGGGAGCAGTAGTTTAATTAATAAAATATATGCCAATAGGCACACCAAAAATTTTCAACGTTTTATTGAAATATCTAAAGAATTATAACATATTATTGATTAATATTAAAAATAATACTATCAATATTTAATATGTTCATTTAAAAATGAGAAACATTTGTATTTGATTTTTTAATTACATTTTTTATGAATGACAAAGCAAACAATGCTGATCACTAGTCTATAAACCTATTAGAG